TGTGTTCATTAAAGTCTTTGGTCAGCTGCACAAACAGGGCACTGGAGCACACGGACAACAGTTATGCATTCTTTTGACTTACATAACTTGTCTTATGTCACAAAGTTTTTGACTGTTCTCTTCTTTTCTAGAAAAGAAGTAACTGCTACATACTTCTAATAAGAACTATTCCAACTTTGCAGGATGTTAAAAAAAACAAACAAAATGCAGCTATTTAAAGCCTCAGAAAAGTCAAATATTTGGGAACTGACAGAGTCTCTTGATACATGCTGATGCAAAATGATGGACCAACCTTGTCCAAAGAGAGCAGGACTCAACACAGGAAATCTCTTACATCCTCTCAGCCTGCTCCCCCCCTGCCTGGGCCTGTTTCTGACGAACCAAACCAGAGGTGAAACGAGTCACACCCGCCGGTTTTCATTTGCGTCTGTGCCATGTCACATTCAGTACGCAGCTCCTGGGACAACAATAGTACAACAGTCACCAAAGGGTAATGAATGAATAAATGAGCAGGGGTCAAGTCTGAACAAAGAGGAACGTTATGCTCTCGATTTGCACCACTTGGGGGCGGTAGTGTGTTTCATCTGGCTGTTCTGGAAAATTGGTTCAAGGCAAACGTTTTCTTCTGCACGTCTGGTGGGGCCCCAGTGTGTGTGAATGAGGATGTGTGTATCTGTCAGCAGGTTTGTCTGTCCTCACTGATTTATTTGCTTGATGGCTGAAAAAATGTTGTAATGTAATCGTAAATGTCTCTGTGAATTGCTGAGATGAAAATCATGTTTTCTGAGGTCATTTGTTTCCGAATATGAGGTGAAATATGGAAATATTAGAAAATTTGAAACTGATTAATGGTGGCATTTTTATATTGGCAGAAGCACACGTGTAACTAACAACATTAAATAGCTGTATTCCATTTAGTTATACCAGTTTCAGGGTCTCAGCACAGTCACTGTTACTAGTAACACCCGTGCTGTTCATTCTGTTCAAGTGAAAATCTAGCATACTGTACATTCCTGACCACACCCCAACCAAAACTATAAAAATATCATTGCTTCATCAGTTATGATTACGGTGTGCCTACAGAGCAGCATCCATCCTCTTGTGTTTAATTAGGGCAGACAACTCCCTGCTGTTCACCCGTATTTACTTCTCCAGACCGTCCTGACTGACGTTTCTACTCAATCACAAGACAATCATAAGCTCCATTCACTAACCCCTGCACCGCAGTGGCCACGCAGTGGTTTTGGTCTGCTACTCATGAATATCTCATCATATAAGAAAAGAGGGAAATAGGACAGGTGATGATCCGTTACCCTATCTGACTCCAAGAGATGTGATGTAGGTAGGTACACATCTGAAGACAACCAGTATGTGTGTGAAATTGAGTGCCTTATTTTGATGATGGAGTCTTGCTTGGATATTCATATGCTGAGATCTCATAGGTCTGAACAGGAGCATGCAAGATGAAAATCTATAGTTTCTTTTCCTCCGTTTTCAGTTTTCCTTTTAAAAACTGGTCTAACATCTTTATTCTAGATTTTTTACTTCAATTAAATGAATTCAGATATATACTTCTGACAGACACATGTGGAAAATCAATACATACAAAACCTCTAATAAAATAGTCCCAAATGGAAAAGATCACAGATCAGTGTCTATCCATGGGAACCAGAGGTTTACTGCTCTAACAGGCTCCAGCACCTGTTTTTTTTTCTTCCGCCCTCTTTCCATCCTCTTGTACATGACTAAGTCTGGGGGCCGCACTGGGATTTACAGATGTTCTGTGTTCGGAATCTGGGTAAAAGGTCACCATGCCGGCTAGCGATGGGAGCGGCCATTTTGGGAAATTGAATAAGCAGCTGTGGCGAATCGTGGATCCGGTGATGATCCAGTGACACGGGACTGTACGGCTTTGCGAGTACAAATGAGAGGAGAGAGGATACAGAGGAGACAGATTCCTTCAAACCTCGCACATTAATGTTTATTTAATTCATTTGTTTAGTCTTCTCTAAAGTAAATATATTCCTACTTGCAACCTGATGATTAGTCTGTTGGTTCTTGCTTGAACTGGTTCAGTGTGCTCTGGATGAGATCCAGTGGTGGAAAGTTACTGAATGCATTTTTACTCAAATACTGTACTTAAGTACATTTTGAGATATTTGTATATTATTGCAGTATTTTCATTTCATGTTACATACTTTTACTCCACTACATTTTGAAAGAAAAATATAAGATATATAATATAAGAAAAAAAACATTTTTTTTATTCTACTGACATCATTATACTGACGATGTTATTTTGTAGATTATAATTTTACATACAAACATATATTATACATGAAAGAAGGAAAATTCATGATTGGTAACAATGAAAATAGGTTCATTGCTTTCAAACAGTATATTGATAAGAATTAAACTTTCATGACGAGAACATTAAAATGCTAATAATTAAATAGCAATCCGCATTAGACTACACTACATAATAAGTAGCCTACCTTTGAAACTTTGAGTTCATGTTTAATAACATATGTATTTTTACCTAAGTAAATTTTGAACGTAGGCTTCTTACTGATAAGGAGTATTTTTGCACATTGGTATTACAACTTTTACATAAATAAAATATCATAATACTTCTTTCACCACTGATGAAATCACAAGGATTTTAAATGCTGAGGATCTTGTTGAATTATTATGCAAGTCTGCCTTTGTGGTTATGAACAAAACATGCATGAGTCATCCAGCAATTACAGTATCAAGAAAAACTGGATTTCGCCTGTAACAATTTGAACCAGCACATTCAGCGATAATTTTCCACAGCTGAACATCAGACGGGTCTTTCATGTTCGTTTAAAGAAAATTAATTCTCCCCATGTCTGACATTACACAAAGCCAAAAAAATGAAGGCCTGCAGTCCATCTTTCACACCCTTACTGTGCACCCCACTCATATCCCTGACAGTTCTCCAATGTCCCAGAAGAATGCAATAAATGTAATAAGGCACATACGTATACATACATACACATGTACAGTCATGACGCTCATACCAGACTGTCATAAAGTTCAGCTATTAGCATGTTCCTCCTTGTACCTGCTCCACACACATACTCTCCAACCACTTGGCCTTTCATTTACCTGTGAAAAATACTTAAGAAAATATCAAAGAATATTATCATTCAATGATGGTGAACTGTAGCTGAAAGAATATGAATCATCACCGCAGCTGCTACACAAGTCTGTCAGTTTGAAAAAACAAAAGCAAATCTGTCTACAATGACCTCAGGGCTCCTATGAAATGAAAAAGACTACCTGGAATTTAATGAGAAAAGCCTATTTTTAACCAGAACACTGCAGTCTTTGCTTGCTTCAGTGGAAACCACTCTCTGCCAAGGCTTTGGGAAAAACAATGCTAATAATGTTTGTTACATTCCAGCGTGTAAATGAGGGCTGTAATTCCTCTGCACTGTGTTTCCCCTCTCAGCACCGTCAGCAGTCTCCCAGTTACCTTTCACCTACTTAGTCTGGGCTGCAGACAGGAGAGGGTTAAACCGGCTCCTTCTTTGTGGTCTGGCCCCGGATCACGTATGGCCTGTGATCTCTGTAAAAAAAAAAAACCCTTCTGCTCGTAATGTGGGCATTCTCTGTGCTGTGAACTTTCCCCTAATTCTCACAGTCCTCACAGATCAAATCTTTGCTGAGGAGCACCTCAGGCCACATCGTTTGCATGTTCCTCTCCTGTCTGTGACTGACTTCGTTCATTCCTCGCATTGTCCAAGAGGAGATATCTAGGACAGCCTGGTATACTTGCTCTACAATAGCTGTTTTTTACGGGCTTTTAAGAATCATATTTGAATCATTATCTGATCTATCTCTGTCAGTCAAATGAAATATCAAGGATGCTTTATTAAGTGGAGTACAATTTACACTTTTAATAAGATTGTTGTGAAGGCTAATGATTGTAATCAGGCTAATTAAGTTAGAGGGAAATTGTTTTAACAATCTGTATCTGTTTTTAAAGCTATGTAATTATCTACTGTACATAAATCAACTTGAATCTTTTTGTTGCGCAGATCAATTCATGTTCCCTAATTCTGCCTGAATTCTTTATCAGTCTTGTGAGGAAACTATTTAGGATTTAATATTCAAATGCAATATATCTATTCAATACAAATCTGAATCACATTAAACTAACCTAGACAAGACAGCATGTGATCCCAATGGATACAGGGAGTATAAACAGAGCTGAGTAAGAGACACAGTAATAGTAAAATCAGTAGCCTGAATGACGAGGAGCAAAGATTTCATCTGGCGTGAGGTTGCGGGACGTTGAATACATGGAAAATGTTTCTACTGACAGGAAGAAGAGGCTCAGAGTCTCCGCTCAGATAGTGATGAGTATAAAGGTCTGGCCTTCATCTTTCACTGGCTTCAGTGTGGGTGGTCTGCTGACAGCCCACAGTGGCATTTGCCACTTTCACTTTCACAATTCACACTTCAGTAAAAGGCTGCTTAAAAGTAGGTGTTTGCTGATATTTTAAAATGGCCTTTTAAACAAGGCTCTGCAGAGCTACAGTGATGTGTTTTGGACTGACTATGAGCATAATCAGGGCTCTGATATCTTTATCAACCAATTTCAGGATGTTCCTTATGATGATGAAGGGATTACCTCACTTATTCACAAATACTACACATGATATACTTAGTGTTAATTCAACAATACTTCACAGAAAATGATTTGTTTCACTGCTGGGGATATCAATTGTTTAGTTTCCTCCAGTAGATAATGTATTCCCTGTCTCCCACAGTGCAGAGATGAAAGCCAATCTTTTTGTTATATCATGTCCCTCCTCCGCCTCTGACATGAATAGTTAACAGAGAGATGGAGGAGGGACAGAAACCTGAGAGTAGCTGCACCCCTCCCTCTCCTCAGCTGGCCAATGGCAGGCAGCTTACAGCCTAGAGTTGAGGGCTGTGAAACTATATAACAGTGGTGCTGTGACTGTTCAGCCAGGAGCCTCAGCTCTCATAATCAACTTAGCAAGACAGGGCAGGACACTGCACACTTCTGCAACAAGGCAACACACATTTCAAAGCAAGATTTCAACACTTAAGGACAACGGGAGAAATGAAGACAACGCTAGCAACTCTGACTCTCTGCCTGGTGGTACTCCTGGCCACAGGTTTCCCTCTCGAGAGGAAAGGGGGATCACCCGGCGGTGCCGGTGCCAAGGAGAAGCGTGTACAGTATGCAGCATGGGATGACGTGAATGTCATTGCCCATGGCCTGCTGCAGCTGGGCCAGGGGCTGAAGGAGCATGTTGACAAAACCAAAGTCCAGATGAGGGACATTTCCACCAAGTTGAAGGTCTTCAATCGTACAGTGACTGAGCTGGGAAAGGAAAGCCAGAGGCTGCGAGTAGAGGGGGAAGCCCTGAAGGTTCAGGCCCAGGGACTGGAGGACAGAGAGGGGCAGCTGCTGAATGTCACAGCCGAGCTGAAGGAAAAGGCAGAGGAAATGCAGCAGGAGAGGAGGACAATGAGTGAGAGGATGAGCCGGCTGGAGAGGAGGGTGGACAGCATGCTGCAGGGAGACGCGGTGCTGTCTGAAACAAACGCTGGTGCCAAGAACAAGAGCGATGTTCGCAACATCCAGGTGAGAATGGAAGCATTTCAGTCTATGGGTTCTGATGATGAGAATTTGTTTTAATTTGTTTAAATAATCAGAATTGTGTTATCTGGATTAGTTTGGGAAGAAAATCAGCTAAATGAATCTGTCCACTTTATGCAAAGTAGCATTCCTATACTAAATATTACCATAAAGCCATAATATTGCAATTGCAACAGATGGTTAAAGGGACTCTTCAAGTTAGTGGATCTACAGTATGCATGGATAGTTGGCTTTTATGGTGGGGCTTTTCTCTGAGCTCAAGGGCACTAAATGAAAATGCAAAGAGGGCAAGCAGTGGGCGGTGGGTGTGGTGGAGTGGAGTGGAGAGAGGTTGGTTAACAAGCCTGCAAGGCATGGAGGACGGAGTGTGCAGTACGTGCAGGGAAACACTAAACGCTGCCAGACAAAGGGATCTGCAGGCATCAGCTACAAGAATGTGTGAATAATTTTCCACAGCTGTCACATTTTACAACGTGGAGAGATTCAACCATGTGACACACAGTTGAAGGGGCTTACGAGAGCTGTGCTGTCTTTGTAGTTTTGCTTTTACAAAGCAGTGTGTGAGCCTGAAAGGCTTTATAGTGGGATGGAAAATCAGTGAGGGAGTTACATAACCGCACCACAGACAGTTGGAAAGGACAAATGCTTGTCATTGAAGGGTGGAAATGTCTATGTCTCCTGCAAGTGGCCCTGTTCGATATGTTAATTCTACTGTTTCTTGCAGTGGTATTACTGTGCCATGAGCACACACAGGCAGAGTGTAGAATAAAGTTGATAAAATACTAAAAAATGGTACCTTTGTGTTAATCTTCTGTCAGGTGATGCTGGAGGCTCAGAACAAACGCATTGATGATCTGATGGAGAGGATCAGACTCCAACAGGAGAAGCTTGACAAGCAGAATGTGCGCATCAGGACTCTGCAAAGTCAGGTGAGCAAGCATTACAACCAGCAAACCAACATCTCTGCATTCCCTGTCATAAAAATTGTTGAGACGTATTCTATTATTTTTGCCACATTTTCATGACTGATTCTGAACTTTTTCAGATCCAGCAGTCACGACAGAGACCCTCCCCACAGAGCAGCGACACCGACAGCCCGGAGCAACGCGACTCACCAGCCGGTAAGTAAAACCCCCTCCTGACACTGTCTTAAGTCTACTAGAAGAAATCTGACGCCAAATGTGGCGGGCCATCTGTTTAGTAAGGCTACAAAGAAGCTTAAATCACTGGCAATTAAAATCAAGGAATGGAATCAATTTGGGACACGCTTCTCTGCTCAGCTTGACGCCTGTGGAGGACTTTTTCACAGACTCTGTGGCTTTTAGCCTTTAAATCCTAATGACATTGTTCGGTTAATACAGGATAACATTAACAACAATGACACAAGTAAAGTAAGTGAGGATAAGTTGTTTAAAAGCATTCAATTAGGCCAACAAAACAAAATATATGTTTATTTGGTTTGTCTAGACCTTATTTCCACTACCCCAGAGAAAAGACATCTATTGGGATAAATAGTAGTAGAGAAGCTAAAATGGGGAATTAACATTGACAGTCTTTTGTCAGTGGCCCTCATACTGTTGTGTACAGTCATTGTAAGAGGCAGTAAATGATGCCCTCAGTGTGAAGCAACGCCACGCAGCTGCTGCTCCCAACTGAACTGAACTGTGACTGGCGCAGCAGTCATAATGACTGCTTTCATCCAGACTGTACCAGACTGGATACACTCCAACTGCGGAAGAGCTGAGACTCCCAGCTTCCTTAGCCCACCACATTTTTGTCTCACTTTACTTATGTTTAGTCTTCAGAGCGCAGGGTGAGGGTGATGATGGGAGAAAGAGAGGAATAAACACAGAAATTTATACATATTGAATAAGTAGATTATAATAATGAATCAGAGTGAATTTGAACTTGTATATCTGCTTCTGATGGCCACAAATGTGAACTGGGTGAAAGGTGAACATGGCTGAGGCAACAGTTGAGTTCAGCCAGTCAGTACAAATCACAGTAACACCTCCGAGCTCTGACATCAGCAGGATTTGAGGAATGAGGAAAAAGAAACGAGTTTCTCTGGCAAGGTTTCAACTGGGGGAAAGGTCGCTGGTCTTTGAGAGCGTTCAGTCAGGGTCACACAGCTCAATGGGATTTCTCACACTGATCATTTCTGTGGTGTCAAGGGGTGGGGGTGGGGGGTAAGGGAGGGAAGCCTGGAAAAGGCAAAGGGAGGCTTTGTAGAAATCTAGCATGCAATGTTCCTCAGATTACTGTCCTTGTGCCTGAGCCAAGAAAAAAATGAGGGAAAACAAGGTGGAAAATGGGAAAAGCCAGTCTAAATTTATCTGTGAACTTTGTACAGATATCCTCCAGTGTTTTGAAGACCCCCACCCCCCTTTTCTTTAAGACATCCAGCCTCTGTGTGTAAAACAAACATTTGTACATCCCTCAAGAATGAGCAACCTTTCCCCTAGATCTGTCAGGGAGTCAGACATCCCCCTCCGCATCCTCCCCCTCCACCTCAGTCATCCTCTCCTCTCCTCCCCCATCCTTACACACAAACACACCCTCCCCACCTCCACCTCCTTCTTCTCTCCCATTGTAATGAATAAGAAGTGTGCCAAAGTTCAGGAGAACCCCTGACCCCAAGGTAGACTACAGCCACAACTGGCCACACAGAGTTCATGCCTCTAGAGGAAAAGTCATTACACAAAAATTAGGTTTTGTGTTTCTGCGATCAGCTGGCATGCTTACATTAAAACAATGACCAGCAAAAAACAGCAAATCAAATCAAAATGAAAAATTACACTTTACTGTAATTTTTTGTGTGTGTGTAAATGTATTAAATAGCATCATGTGATGATGTCATCCATGTTAAAAAAAAAGGATTACTGGAGGGGTGCTATTAGTCTCGTGCCTCATTAGCCACATGACAGCTTCAATTGGCTCTGGAGTCCCCTGCTTTGTGTTCCTGCCGTCTCAGATGTCCCTTTTCTGCAACAGCCCCCAGCCCTCCTCCCCTCACCATCCTCTGATCACTCCCTTTGCATGCGCCAGCCATGCACCAGCCATGCACTCCTGCATCACAGAGCGGCTGCTGTGCACGTGAGAGAGGTGTGACAAGCCAAGGAGGGAATGGGGAGCCAGAGACAGGGGGTGGGAGGGGGCTTAGGAATGTAGAGGCTAGTAGTGTGCAGACTGGAGGGCCAAGCAGCCATAAAGAGAGACGTCTGCTTGGGAACTGGGAGAAAGGTCATATTTATAACCGAGAAAGAAATTCTCACTCACTCTCTTCCTTGTTAAGGCTAGGTCAAAGGCTCTATCGGGTACACACGCATATCTCCAGACTTGCTGATAAACTCACTTGGAGCGATAGTCTTATTTGCAAACACTCTGCTCTCGCAGCGCAGAGAAACCTGTCGCTGAGAGGTTCCCTAACTGTGATTGACCTACTTATCAAAGCTGAGTAGAGTAAACAAGCTCCGATTCACAAGTACCTCTTTCACAAAACACATACGACAGAATCAAATCTAAAAAAGCCTCAAATTAGGAAACATGTACAAGAAAAAAGATGATTCAATGACCTAATACACTATTGCAACATTGGGCAGCGGTCCAGCAAATTTACTCTCAGTTTTACAAACACTGTAACAGTACAAAGTTCAGGGGAGTAAAGCTGAAGAAACACAAATCTGTTAAATATGTCACATATAAATAGCATGGCTTGCAGGTTGGTTCACACTTTGTACACTGTGGGGTCTTGCAGTGATACTTTACAGAGCTGTTCCTTTTAACATTGTGTCTTTTTTTTCCCCTCTTTGTTCCTATTGTTAGAGACGGCATCAGACTGCCACGAGCTATTCCTGAGAGGAGAGACCACTAGTGGGGTCTACACCATCCAGCCAGTAAACGCAGAGCCCTTTAAAGTCTTTTGTGAGATGACAGCTGGTAAGTGGAGTTAAACTTCTTGTTTTGTGTTCCAATTCAGTGCAGTTTGGCCAACAATTGCCAACTACTCACACAATAAGTCACTAATTTCAAAGAGTAGAATCGTTTGAAGTCTCCAGTCTGGACCAGAAGCGGTTCTTTTGGCCAATAAAACATTTTCTTATCAACCCCTTTCTGTATTTCTCTCCAGATGGTGGATGGACAGTGATCCAAAGGCGCCAAGACGGCTCAGTGGACTTTGACCAGCTGTGGCAAGCCTATGAGAAAGGCTTTGGCAACCTGAATGGTAAATTCCCTTTTGTCTTTGATCTCATTCTCACTAACTCCTGGCTCTAGCTGGCCTGGCCAGGACCAGATTAGTTCAAACAGCATTACAGTATTTACAACCACCATATCAGTGGGCAGGAGACCATCTTATCACAGATAAGCTTGAAAACAGTGTTTCAGCTGCAGTAGTTTTCTCACCATTTCTCTCCTTTCCTTTGTCTTTGTCTTCTTCTCCAGGAGAGTTCTGGTTGGGTCTAGAAAAAATCCACTCCATTGCCAAAGATGGTGGCTACATCCTCAACATCAAGCTCTCCGACTGGGGGGATGACTTAGCATCCGTCCGCTTCCCCTTTCAACTGGGCGGAGAGGAAACCAAGTATTCGCTCCAGATTCAGGAGGTCGGCACTTTCAGCATCTTGGAGAGTTCCCTGGGGACTGACGCCACCTCCAGCCTTCCTTTCTCCACCCGCGACCAAGACAATGACCAGAAAAATGACACCAACTGCGCCAAGCACCTTTCTGGTGAGTTGTAAATGACAATCACAATGATAAATGCCTCTCTTTCCAAGTTTTTACTTGAGTTTAAATGCAGCATCTAACCTGATATGGTTCTTTGTCTTTTACAGGTGGTTGGTGGTTCAGTAACTGCGGTCGCTCCAACCTAAACGGTAGATACTTCCAGAGTCCTCCTCCCAAGCAGCGACACCAGAGGAAACAGGGCATCTTCTGGAAGACCTGGAGAGGCCGCTATTACCCTATGAAGTCCAGCATGATGATGATCGCCCCCGCTGCAATCGAGAACAAGTCCTAAAGAATAGAACGAGACAAAGAGAAAAGGTCAAAAGAAAAAGAAGGGGGAAGAAAGAAATACATTTTGGACTATTCTTTCTTTTGCTGGTGCTTGGTTGATGAGGCAGAGGTTTCCATTTCCCTGGTTGTCTCCCTGCAAGGAAGACTTCATACCAGAGCTAAGGCCCTCAAAATAGAAGCAGAACTCACACTAAATGAGTTCCACGTTTCCACTGCTCTGTTGTCTGAGAGACGAGCAGATTCCTTCCCTGCACCTAAAGCCACAGTTGGAAAAAGAGACAGAAAAACATGCAGTGGAACATTTTTTGTTTTAGTTTTGTTTCACCATTGCAGTTGATTCTTTTTGTTGGTGTGAGGCAGGGGCCCTATAGTCAGGAGAGCATCACAGAGCGAGTCCAGGCCTGTCTGCTGTCCTGTAAGCCCTAAAGCATTTCCAACAAGTCGAGACTCCTCACCAGACTTGTGGTGTCAACGGTGCATGTGGGTTGTTGTTGAGTTTGAATGTGGGTTTGTAGCGTGTAAACAGCACTGTCAGCTCAAAAACAACTTAAGAAACTGCTCTTACTTTGTAGGGGATTCATGTTGGAGTGAAATGCAGGCCGATTAAGCGAGCCTTTTAAATCCAATGGTGCGGACCAAATGGTGACTTAATTAAAACAAAGAACCATTTTCCACATGAACATGAGATCAGTCTTCAAAAGCATTATGTAAAGTTATAAATCACTGTAAACTAGGATTACGATGCAGAAACTGTGTTAAGACTGATGTTGGAAAGCTGTTCATGGGGTACTGAAGATCATTCCAGGCTTTTGTACAATATACAGTATATACTGCCTGCAGTTTTGAATCAAAGTAAGTACATACTTCACTGACTTAAATTTTTCTGTGGAGATTTTGATGATGCTAAGTCATATTGACTAGTTTTAAGATGAGAGACATGGTTTTGTACATAGTGTATGAAGGAATGTGGTCAGTCTTTTCAGAAATGTAACTGTTACTGATTTGTCTTGACATTGTCTGTTTTGTCGTGACTTGAGAGTTTGTTATTGTAGATGTTCCCTTTTCTTATTTAAATGATGTAAAGAATCAATATATATATTTCTGGTGCTGCCTGTTTGTAATTTATATTGTCCTTGTTGTGTTTAATAGATGTAAGACAGTTTTTTTTAAGAGAAAATACCAATCTTTTGGCTAAAATGAGCCAATAAAATTGATTTAAACTAATGTTGATTTTGTCTGTCTATTATTTGCTGCTTAAGGTTTTAATGTACATTCACATAATTTAGTTAACAGAACTAAATGAAAAATATTTTACAAAAACAAAAATAATATAATATAAAATATACTGAATGTAAGCTAATAAGTCCAAAATGGCAAAATGTTGCCGTTGCCTAATTTGTTTGCTATTTCTGTAGGAAACATTTCATTGCAAGCTATTTGTTTAAGGTTTTACTGGGAGGACATTTTAACTTGTTCAATGTTCGTAGATTTTTCTTTTCAATATCAGAACAATCAAGGTTTCTCTTTGATTTTCATTTATTCCATCAATTCAAAACTGAGAACAGAATTAAATGACAAACAGCTGAATTTTTAGATATGTAAAATAATCCTCTGTATTTAAATGAACACATTAACTTGACCAAACCTGCATGATGCATGTTTTTTTCATTTGGAAACTGACTGCAGGCTCAAGCACAGAGTAGAGCGAAACCATTTAATTGAGTCACACGTGGCAAAACACTTGTGTCTTAAAGACTTTACTAGCTTAGTCATATTACCTGGAAGCAAACTTCAGTAGCCTCAAGGTGTCAGTTTTAATTTTCATTGCACCACTGCCTGCTTCCTTGTTGGGCTTACTGTTAATGTGCTTCATCCGCAGTGATCCTCCGAGCACTGACAACTGGTTAAGGATCAACCTCTGTAACAGCTGATCTGATGGAGTGTGCTCTCAACTGACCTTCAAGGTATCAAACGAGTGGAAGTCAATGTCTTGCTAACATGCAACAGGTGATTTCAAACAGAGAAGACAGCACTTGAAAAATGAAAAACATAGATGGTGACTTACTCAACGACCGCATGACAAAATTGCTCTGTGAATAATGGAACAATTGTCATCACCAGTAGTTCCATTTAAGATGATAAGTTTTACATCATAAGCAGAGACAGATGGAGTGCTCAGATCCTTTCCATAACAAAAAACATTAATACCGCACTGTATGAATAACTCACTACAAGTAAAAGTATGTAAGTATAATCAGGACAATACATTAACATATACATAAACATTTTAATGCAGTAAAATATGAGTGTTGCGCTATTATACATTATATCAATGGGTTATTATTACCGATGTCTTGAGCAGCATTTATGACTTTAGTTGGTTGAAGTTGATCTTTTTTAAACTACTTTATATAAGGCTGCAACTAATTATTATTTTTAATTAATATGCAGATTTCTTTCTCAATTAACAGATTGCTTGTTTAATTTGTAAAACTTACAATTGTGAGAAATGCCATCACAATTGCTGGAGTGAGGTAAAAGGTGCAATATTTCTCTGTGGAATAGAAGTATAAAGTGACATGAAAAAAAAAAACTCAAGCAGCAGAAATGTGTACTGAAGTACAGTACTTTGCAGTACCTGAGTAAATGTACTTAGTTACATTCCAATACTGAAGAGGTATCCCACATGTTCCACATTTTTCAAAGTTTCATATTTAGGGAAATATGCTTATTTACTTTCTTACCCAGAGTTAGTGTAGCTGAGAACATAGGTATCACTTCTTTATAATTCTAGATTTATATATTCTTATGTACGCTAACTAAATATGAAGTTACAGCTAGCAGAAGCAGTTACCAGGCAACCAGCTAACTGGGCACTGCTCCCACCCAAGAAATAGTTCAGCACTTAACCCCCGTAAAAATACAAGCAGTTGGTCTAACACTTTGGTTTTTGTACAGATAAAACAAATGAGATAAACCACGTTCATCTGTGAGCTTTAGAGCAACTTGTAGGCAAATTGTGTTACCTTTGGGCAGAGCCAGGCCGGTTAGCTTAGCTTTATGCTAATTTTTTAAGATTCCGTTACATAACCTCAAATCAAAGCGGGACTCACCTATGAAGTATGAGCATGAGTACTCCATTACCAAAAGGGTTACCATGGAAACTGTGCTGCCCACAAGGAAAGGTGCCAGAAGGACCAACAAGCCTCTGCTGCTTCACTCGTGAAAGATCTGGAGTGCTTGAAAGCCCATGTTGTGCAGGTTTGGTCAGGTGCAGCTCAGAGCAATTAGGAAGACACAATGAGGCTACAATTGAGGTTTTGAGTGGAATCTTAATAGAGGAAAACACACTTGAGATGAGTGTGGTTCCCAGTAAGATAGCTTGCAATGGACCCTGCAAAACATAAACAGAAAGACACATGTTGTAGCTAATATATACAATCTAACATGTTGAATAAGAAGACTGAAGTAAAAGAGAGCGTGTGATTGATTCATACATTTATTCATTATCATGTACAAATTGTATTCCGGTGGTACAAAGCTGTTGTAAGACTCCAGTGCTCACCCTCCTGTTGTCTTTATTGCAGTAAAAAAAGGAAATACCAGCATGATCAATAGTCAAGAGGTACTTTGGCAAATATAAATTATGTGTTAAGAAGGCAAGCAGACATCTCGAGCAATGTAATGTGAGGGGAGAAAACGGCACAAAACTTTCAATGAGCAGCTTCTGTCAGCACTCATTAAAAAAAGAATAAAAATCCATAAAAATATTTTATTTTAAACAACACACACTTAAAACACGTAGACAGAGGAAGAGACTTGGTTTTCTTCCTTTCTTCATCATTACACAAACTGCCAGGTACAGACTCACAGTATATATGGATATTGCAAGTCTGTGTGAGTGTGCTTGTGAGTGTCAGTGTTTATTTATGAAATAAACTGTATTTTACACATAGTGTGTGTGTTGATGTCTGCAAATATGTTTATAGATTCCATTTCATATCTGTGAACTGTAACCCCATTTCTACCACTGACTCAAGTGAATAAAACAGGTGGGGCAAGGGGGAAACAACACGATAACATTTGGCAAAAACCATCATGGTTGCAGATGAGGACGTGGCTGAGCGATGAGTCAATGTGACACAGCCTGCAAATATTTCTCCATATGTCCTTGTCTTTGTTCAGCTTTCAGGGTGAGACACCAAATCTCTGTGCTCGTAAACCATACCCCAGACTGTACACAGGGGGAAGGGCATGGAGGAGACAGGGCGAGCAAGTGAGTAACAGAACAAGAGACAGAGAGCGCGAAAGAGGGAAGGTATGGTGGAGAAGTGAGATGACTAGTTCATAGGAGAGAGTGGCTTGTGGCTGCAGAGTGTCTGACAGTCTCTCCACGACAGGGTGAACAGTTGGAGACGGGGTTTGGGATCGGGAGGTCAGGGAGAGTAAAGATGGGTGGTGAGCTGGAGGGAGTAAAGGAGGACAGAGGGGAAACTAGACTTCACTTCTTCCCGTTGTCTCATTTCAGAGGTATTGTTGTAGAAAGTGCAGCAGCATGATCTCGTAGTGCTCTCCAGACTCAGGGCAGCGAATACTGTGTCGCTCGTTGGGGTAGACCTGGACGATTGAAACAGGGTAACCATAGTTACCATGTGTACTACATGTATACAGTCTAAAAAATCCACTTTAGAAAATATCTTTGGAAAAACACTAAAAACTGCACTACAAGTGTTACTCTGAATACAAAATTTTGAAATTGTATAATTTATTGGAAAAGTTATGGAAACTGTCAACGCAGATGAAGTGATCTCATACAGCAGCATCAAACAGATGTGTTAGTGATCAGTATTAGGTATGTGATGCCTACCTGAAGCTGGTAGGGCTTCCCAGCACGGATTATCTGTGACACTAGGAAATTGGTGTGGAAAAAGTGCACATTCTCATCTAGAAAACCGTGAAGAATCAGCAAACGATTGGGCCTGGAATGACAAGGATTACAGGGTTACAATATGATACACTACAATATGAAAGGCTTTCATAGGACAGACAAGATAAAGAGTGCAATTCCTGAAGTAGAACATTGTCCAATAGCAAACAGTGAGAGACTCCATTCTTTCAGGTGTTAAAAAAAGGAAAACCTTTAGAGATCCAAATTTATAGAAAGCTGAAACACTGCAGCTGCAGAGCTTCAGCCTCTCTACTATGCATCCAAGAGCAGTGCTCCAACATGCCGCCTGTCAGGCCCTCAGGGTCTGTAAACAATGTTACTAAACGCTGAGGCTTGATTTAGCCTGTCATCTCAAACAGGAATAATTTCACCCTTGCAGATTTTAACAGTTGCAACTAAAACTCAGAAGCTACTGTTTTTCATGTTCAAGAGGTTCTAAGGTAATGAGTCACATTTAAGATCAAGGGTGAAAACAATCACAACTATCTGGTAAAAGAATGTCATCAGTACATGTGAAACAGATTACCCAAAATTTCTTTGGTGAACACGTCAAACTCACTTTCAAAGTATATGAGTCATGACTTTGCAGGAAAAAGGACTGCAGTCATGATGAAACATGCAAGAATATCTATGCAACCACAAAGGACATGCAGCATGGTTAAAAAAAGGTTTAAATCCCATATAAAGGCAGGGACTCTTGCCAACTCATTTAAAGGTGTGTATACTGACTCGCTGGGCAGCTTGTCCACATGCAAGGCCACAGATCCTTCCTCGTAGCCCTGCTGGTTGTTCTCAGGCACATCCATGTAACGCTCTGTGTAGCCAGTGTCGTATGCCATCCACACAGTCACTGGGGCACCTGCGATAGCCAGCTGGTAGGGAAGCACAATGTAGAAGGAGGGTAGTGGTTTAGAGTTGGCGGGAAATACCTAATTAGACTCTGAGTAGACTCTAATGCTGATGTTATGGCTCAGTTGGATATATATTTTGGCAAATGTTGGTACATAAATTAAACTTTTAGTCCCTCTAGCACAGGGGTGCACCTGCAGATATCCTTACTGAATTAATGCTGTTAGTACCATAGTGTAGCACTGTCCAACACGGACACCATGTGGATGTAAGTGGCAACTACATCTGCACTTTTGATA